AGTTCTTCAGAAGAAGTCGTTTGAAGTGTTTGACACATTTGACCCCTGTGACCTTGAAAGTAGGTCAAGGTCATTTTCATTCTCAAACTTTGTTGGGCTCTATCCCAGGAAGCCATCAGCAAAATATGAAGATTCTATACCTTTTAGTTCTTTAGAAGAAGTCGTTTGAAGTTTTTGACATATTTAACCCCTGTGACCTTGAAAACAGGTCAAGGTCATTTTTCGTTCTCAAACTTTGTAGGACTCCTCCCAACGAAGCTTTCAGCCAAATATCATGACTCTAGGCCTGTCCATTCTTCAGAAGAAGTTGTTTAAAGGAAAAGTTGACGGACGAGGATGGACGGACGGAGGACGCCGCGCCACGGCATAAGCTCACTTGGCACTTCGTGCCAGGTGAGCTAATAATGGCCACCTGCATATGATTATCATTTCATTTCATCTATATTCCAGCAGGAAAATAATTTTGATCTGTGACTTGCATCATCTCGGTGTGGAATGAGGCAAATTGAAACAGTTTTGGAACAAATTTTAAAGATGTTTATTCATATTTATGTTTTCAATGAAACTATTTCCAATTGAACATAGGTTGCAGATTTGGAAATGATTTTGAAAGTGAAACCCAGACTTTTCAAAATAAACCAGAACACTATAGCTATCAAATGCCAAATTTCCACACGCATCACATATAATTCACAAAATTGATTAAAACTATTTATCTATTAGTACCTTTCATATGAAGCCTTCCAGCAATCATTAGACAAAGTACCACTTAAGAAAGTCAAATTTTGTTTTAATTATGCCAAAAACAGTGTTTCTTCTTCTTTTGCAGCTAATTCACAAGATTCGTTATCAAGTCTTAGTAAGTCTGAAACTCTTCTCTTTATTAACTTGTTTTCAGCATTTTTAATTAATACCCTATTTGTTTTTTTGAGACAAGAGTGTAAACATTGAACAACATTTAGTTTACCTGGCCTTACAACAAACGGTGGCCTCACCTCAATTGCTGCTTGAATGTCAGTTTCATGTATACCCACAGCGACTCTCATCAACATGTGCTGGGGGCGCTCAGCAACTGAAACACCAGGCACAACTCAAATCCAATGTGTGAAACTTTACAACCAATTTGCACAAAAATGTGTAAAAGTAACGACAGGATTTGTTTAACCATAAGGTATCAGTTCCAGATCTCTTCAAGACATACAGCCAATGAAATACTAGGCTGGCATCAATCTGGTCATGTTTTCCAAAAGCAGGAGACCCCCCCGACGAATCTGCTTAAAATGTCTTTTGGTATGTACTTGGCTTCACTATTATCTGCACCAATGTCCAAACATCATTTGTGTTAAACTCTTATGATTTCATTGTTGTTAAAAATATTTGGTTCAACACAATGATACCAGTGGCAGTCTGTAGTTGTACGTGTACTCTTTCATTAATAGTGCTAAAAAAAACATCAACAAAATTTATTTGGTACATTAAAAATCTAGTTTAAACTGTCTGGCCAAATGTTCTTTGACATCAGAAAGTGTTTTTTTGTGAACACAGTTCAATCAAATCCAAAAATGTACAACTTTATAATTATTTGCATAAAAATGAGTGAAATTAAAGCAATATGTCTACCAAGTTTGAGTTCAATCAACCCAAGGGAACTCAAGTAATCGCACGGAAACCTTGTTTTGGATGACGCAATCGACATCGCCAACAAAGAAAGTAATACCTATATGTCGCCTTGCGTTGCAGAAAACACAACAATTCCAAGATCTTAAATCACCATATATGCACATAAAAACGATGTTTACATGTAATTAGAAGTTATGAATATTTTCAATTTATTCCGCAATTAGTAACATGACTTGTCCAGGTTTAACAGTTTAAATTACCTTTGCCATCCATTTTCAGCAAATAAGAACGTTCCAAGGTCTTGAATCCGAAATAGTTGTAAGTGAAGTCACGATCGTAGATGAGAGCAGAATTCAATTGCTGCAAAGGAAATGTAAACAACGTATTGAATGTGATTTATAATTAAATGCTTCCAATCAATACTTGTACTGAAAAGAAAAGCAAAATATTTAAAAGACTATCTTTTCTTTTTCTTTTTTTATAATCCTGATCCCAGAAAGTCAATCTCTGGTTTTATGCTAATCTCGGACAAAGCGCGAGTTGACAATATGTAGGGTTAAATAAATATATATACAGTTAAGTACATGCCACTTACTAAGTTACGTACTATGATAATTATTTTTGTGCAAAAAAAATAAATAATCATGTATTACAGATATATACCGAAATCACTATGAAGTCATTGGTATAATTTCATATAAAGATTCACCCTCCATACTCCAGGGGTTATGCTCACTAGCTCTTTGCACTCCTGGAATATGTCATGACCAAATCGAGACTCAGCACTAGTGTCAGTATCAGTAGTGTGCGCCAACTTGTATACGAGAAGAGAAAATTAGTTTGATCCTTTTATGTGCATCAAAATGATCTCTCCAATGTGCAAAGTTGGCTTTGAAGTCAGGTGTCGCTCCTTCACATGACAGGTATGCACATCAGCCTAGCGATTAGTTGGGATTTGTTTTTATCCGAAACCAATCAAATAGCTAGCTGCTTGCCTTGAAATTTTTCGCAATGACATATTCCAGGGGTGCAGAGAGCGAAAGATAGCGCAAGTGTCCAGGATGATTAAATTGATAACGATGTGGTACTGTCTGTTTGCCCAGAAGTTCCACTCTGAAAAAAGTGTCTTTACCATCCATTCTATTCTCATGTTTTACAATTTATGTCTAGGTGACGAATTCTGTCTTAACACTTTCCGATAAATGCGCTAGTTTTTAATAACATTGTTATTTATTATGTTTTTTCCCCCAAATGACAATACAACAATTGTAATGTACTGTACACATGTACACACAACATAAACATGACCAGGGTCAGACTGTAGTGGAATATCAAATTACTTACGTCCGAGTTATCCATGATGATCTTGTGGGTTTTTGGAGAAATCATGGGAGAGTGTTTGTTTGTTTTAGGGTTGATCCAGGTGTAAAGATCATTCATGACATCTGAAACAGAAATCAGCTTTACTGTTTTCATATTTACTGGGGTCGACACTATCAATAGTCCGCTAGTTCTGGACTTGTAGATTTCAGAAAAAAATAGTGAATCGCCTTACCTAACTGGTCCTTTGGACTTATAAAAAATATGATGATACAATAACAATAGTTCTTTTTAAAATTCAGAAAACCCCTATAAATTAGATAATTTGCATGATAATTGTCAAAACTTCACCATATTTTTATAACAGTAATTATTTTAAGTCCCTTCAATCGAATACTTTTGATGTTTCGTGCTGTAAATCGTGATGTTTCCTTATCAGGAAATCTTGGACTAGTTACGTTGACGAAGGACTAGTAAATAGTTTATTCAACAAGTCCTGTGGACTACCAAACAAAATATGTCAGTGTCTAACCACGAAACATTCATATTATCAAGTCAAAACACCTACGGGACAAAATCAGAAATATTTGGTTTTTAAATTTGCAGTGATCAAAATCATACGCAGTTTACACACCACTGAAGACTTTTTTGGTTTCCTTGTGGAGATTGGACACTGCAATTCTTGCCGCCAGCTGAGCATAATCAGGATGTTTGGTGGTCATGGTGGCTGCAGTCTCGGCTGCCAGGTTGTCCAGCTCGACAGTGGTGACGCCAGGGTAGAGGCCATTGATGACTTTCAATGTGATTGCAGTCTGATAAACATGATCAAACAGAACTGGTAAAATATGGAATGCCTATAGCAGATCCAGACATATATTTTAATTTTAGAAAGAAATATTTGATTTAGTAGTCAAAAGTTTTCCATCAGAAACCAAACTGAACCTTGTAATCTGTAAACATTTTTCTACTATATTATTGTCACTATCAGGGAAAATACTGGAGTTTGGGAGCAGTGGGCTATTACCAGCAATTATTAGTCAATAAAAAAATTAAGAGGGGCCCTTCTATGTAAAATTTAAAAGAAAATTGGAACATGGAGGGGTCAATTCAAGTTTTCAGGGGTCAATGGCCCCCATGCATGCCCCCCTCCAGGATTTTCCCTGAACGATACATCGTACTATCGATAGATTGCAATTGTACACCTCTCGGTTTGATAAATCGATGACAATTTCATTAACTCGATAACAATCGTTGATAGTATGCTTAACAATCAATAGTTTCATTATCACACTATGTGATTACGAGTACATGTACTGATAATTCAGCTGTTATCATTAAGAGGCACTCGGCTGCAATAACACAAGGAGTCAAGTGCGGTAGTCACCATCAGATATTTGTCTTAGCCGTATGTGCGTTTGAATTGGATAACTGTTATGGTATATTCACTCTATACTCAGTGTTGTGGAACTGTTACATAAACACGCTAGCAGACAGCATGGCGGCTAACTTCTGTATTCAAGACAACAAGAATTCCACAGGAATGGATGTGTCGCCTGCTAAGCACTTTTAGCGATGAAAAAAAAGTGTTTCGACTCGAGTTATCGTGGAAATAAGCAAAAACGATGGACAGCATTGCTATGTATGTCAAGTGTGGTATGCCAAAATGCAAAAAGTTGAAACTCGACCGTAAAACCTGTATTATATGTTGAATATTATTGTTTCCAATAGCTTGCTAATTATCAAAGGCCATATTACACCTGAAAAAGTTTTAATATTTTGGCACCTTTCTTAAAAACGGAGACATTATTGAAGTTCAAAACTGAAGAAAAACAGTTGATAGTCAATATAAATCATACCGGATCAACAAAGTCTGAATTCAGTCCATAACAGAGCTTTTGGATCCTAGAGGTGATCTTATCAAACATGACCTTTTCCTCGCGTCCATCTGAAATGATAGAAAAGAACAATTAGAGGATATTTAACAATGAGAGGAAATATCCAAGTGCTGATCCAGGACTTTGTGAAATGTGTTCAAATGTTGTTGGGTGTTTTTTTGGGCCGGGGGTGGGTCTATGGGCAGAGTACAAGTACTGTATTATACAGGTCCAGTACACTCTGCCGATGGAGCTATATAGCTATAAAGACCTATATAGCTTTATACACCAATAAATTATAGCTATAATTTCTCAGATTTCAATTTTCATTGAATCAAAGCAAAGTCGCATAAAAACAATAATTTAACGTTTATGGTAATGTTGACTACAAAAAGTATGCATTTAGATGTTTATTTCATTTTTCATTAAGCCAAAAAAAACCATAGTCTGTTTAGGGTTGCATGGGCAAAAAAACTAGGGTAGGTAGGTCGTTTTTTTTTTGTTTTTTTGTGTATATTTTTGGTCATGTGATTTATGACCCTACTATTGACCCTAAAACAAAGAATTACATAAACAATGTTCATTTGGAGGCAAATTGTGCTCCATATGATGACATTTAGCGCCAACACGGAGCTGGAAGCCATTTTGAAAGGCAAGGAACCTTTAAAATTCGAATATCAGCGGGTTTAAAAAAAAAAAAAAAAAAAAACAATTTTCTATTTTTTTCGACATTATTATTTTTTAAAAAGAATACTTATATCTAATGTCTTTTGTTATAAACCTAAAGAAAAAATCTTTTTTTAAAAGTGACTGTTTCGTTTTCCTTCAAAAAAAAAATCGCATGAAAATAGCTCAAAAGTCCTTTTTCAGATAGGTCAATAGAGCTATTATAGGTTTTTACAGCTATAAAGCTCAATCGGCAGAGTGTACTGGACCTGTTATATGTAGCATGCGATGAACCATCTCGCACCCCTATGTTCTTAAAAAAAAAATCCTTGTAAAAGGGAGGTGGTCCCAATCACAATTAAGGACCCCCTCCCCAATAATGAATAATCATTGAAATTAATTAGGACTAAAGACACAGATAGCGATCTCATTTGCTCTTATTTTAAAATTTAGACTGAAATGTCAATATGAGCTACAATCCAATCATCATTTAGATTATTATGCAACGCCATCCCACAACAATACAAGTTCCGATTTTCATGGTACGCTATATTGGCATTGTTTTAGAACTGGTGTTGCAATTTATTTCAAATGAAATATTTGATCGTGCAAGCAGTTCGATCTCCAAAACACATGAAACAACTTTGTTTTTAAAACATTAAGAGCGATCCCTGCGACAGAAAACAAACCTCGCACTTGCGATTCAGTATGGACATTGGGTCATTCCAGGACAACGTACGTTCTCGATAACTGAATTTTCTATGTAGAACTAAATTCACGAGTTGTTAACCAGATTTTACTCCTTACCTCTCTTGATGACAAACATTTTGGCTGAGTATGGATGACTTCTTCAGACAGGAGAGAGGAAGTCAAATATTTTGCAACTGACGGGATGTTTCTTTGTTGCTGTTTTCCCCCTTGAAATGAGCGCCAACTGCGATCACCTGACTATATTTCCCGCACTTCTTGAAGTCCCCGCCCACATACTTTCTGGTCACTGAGACGCTTTAATATCACGCTGAGCATAAGGTAACGTATAAGAGACAGAGATTGTGTTTTGTTGGGGACCCAGGAAGGGTTATGAACCAGATCACTAAACTTGGACGATCATTTTCACAAATCAAAATGGTGTAGGCCTATCCGTATCGGTTCGCAACTATCATAAGGGGTCGTAAGAAGCACACATGAAGACCCCCAAAACACTCACAAAGACCATGAAAAAACCCAAACACGTTACTATAATAGCACGGAACGGAATTAAATAGCTAATCTAATTCCGTGAAAATAATTAAGTAACGAACAAGTAAATATAGTAAAATTAAAGTCCCCAAATTCGAGTTCACGCGAGCATGTTACATATATGTGTTAATTCCACTGGTTCATCATGTTAGTTTAAATATGTCATAAGTTGCCATAAATATACTTACAGCAAAGAGATTCGGCACAAGTTACATGAACATTAATTATGGACGTCCTTTCCCTATGTTAAACATGAAGTTCAAATACATGATGTACACTAAGATCATTGGAATTATCAAAACCATTTAATTTGCTAATGATTAGTATAACAATCTATCTAATTCCGTGATTATACTTATAATGATGATAATAATTAAAATCGTAAAAACATGTGAAATTACCCTTGAAATACACAATACAAAATTGCAAAAAAACCCAACAGATATTGTTCTTTCTTGTTGCCATTTCATTTGAAAATATGCGTCTTTTTCTTTCTGCATTTTTTTTTCATTCCAAATTTATGATCTACCTCGAATGATATTGTTTTGCTTTCTAAGCTAAAGCTGCCAGTCTTCATTCATTTTTTTTTAGAATTGGAAGTTTCTCCGGTGATCCATAGGCACTTGACTACTAAAAAAGAAAAAAGAAAATTGTCATTTCCTTTTTTTATTCAGATAATTCTCAGATGATAATTTTGAAAAAAAAATATATACTTATATAAAAAAAATCAAAAAAATCTGACATAACAAAGCGTCAAGTGCCTATGGGTGATCCTATAGGAAAGAGAGATGGCCGATCGACTCAATCGATTACTTTGCTAGCCGGCCTATACACTTCGTTCGCGATAGGCTTATATAACGAGTGATCGAACAGCTTTGATTGAAGTTCAAACTGTGATCCGAGCAGCTTTTGCCCCATTTAGAATAACGCTTACATAGTAATAGAATTACGCTTCTGAAGCCCCTCCTCGTGCCCCTCATTTCTCGTGATTTTTTCCGGACATAAACATAACAAAGGGATCGGTTTGGGTTTAAAGTCCTATTCACACCTAAGGTCATTTAGTACGTGGGGTCAAAAGAGGTTCACTTTTTTTTCAAATGACATTGAGAAGGGATGAATTTAATTGTATTTTCGGTGTTTTTTTCCAAAATGAAGCTACAAAAGCTGATAGAAATGTTTGAATTGATCAGGTTTTTTTTCTGCCGAATCCTATATGATTTAGAACGTAACTCAAAAAGGAAAGCACAGTTATACTTTTCGATTTAGTACCTACGCATAGCGATCATAATTCACTGACCTATGTCCATATTTTCAGGTTCTAGTTCAAGTTCTTAAAAAAATACTATACGTCAAAAAAGTTCTTATCAACCATTTCCAAAAATGATTATACACTTGCTTTAACATGCCTGATCCATTTTTATATTTTCATATTCTGATCAAAACCGTATCTTCATCTACGCTCGTCAAGTTTCAGAGCGAAGTTTACGGAACGGAGCGTAGATGAAGGTATGGTTGAAATCAGATTGATTTTTAATTATTTGCAGAACAGTTCAAGCGACAATGTCATGGGCGCATGCATATGGTTAGTAGCTAGACATAGTTTGGAGTGGATTCAGTGCACTTGTATTTCACCAAAGCGGTCGGGGTTCGATTCCCCGATCGGACGTGAAAAGGATTGGGGTCACCTGCCAGACCACGTGGGGTTTTGTCCGGGTACTCCGGTTTCCTCTCACAATAAGACCCCCGCGCGCTAACATCCAGGTCAATAAGAGTGATTAATATAAGCTAAAATAACTGGTTTCATGATTATATTTTAAGAGCGGGGCCAGTACAGGGCCTTTGTATAGGGACAAGGAAAACGAACAAGCAGTGCTTTTGAAACTTTTGTGAATTCATCTGCGTGCCAGCGTATAGGCAGCTACGCACTTGAATATTTAGACTTATATATACATATTGTGACATACACGAGGGTTTGTGTATTGTAAAGGTCTGCATGCTTCCTATAGTTGTAACAGTTAACTGATGGCAAATATGTGTATTAAACGTACATTCGCTGTCGATGTGAATTAAGATGATTTGAATCAATTTATTATTTCACGCTCTATGGTTGGTCGGCATGCTACGTAATTCGCTCCTAAAAATCGGTCATTGAAGTTTTAACAGTGGCGTAGCATACATGTATGCTTGTATGCTCAAGCATATGCTAAAACTTTCAGGAAGATTTTGTTTTATATTTTTTATTAATTTCTCTTTTTTTTTATGATTAATATCGACCATCCATATCAATCATAAAGAGTAAAGAAATAAAAGAATTTTTCTTGAAATTTAAGTCTGATAAAACAGTGTTGTCATGTATGTTATGTCTATACACATTGACAAATCTCGAAGGTTTATGTAAATCAAAACTACTTAGTTAAGTATAAAATTTACATAGAGTAAGCCCTTTTAATTTTGATATTTTCTCTGCATTTATCGGGTTAGAAGATTCTAGACAGCGAATTGTGGGAAATATCGTTTCTAAGTGTAGTCTTATTTCTCCTGACGCCTGTCGTCAACGACGACTCGAGATCGTAAACAAACAAGATTACACCTATCCATTCATAAATGATATGTCGGATCATGAATATATAGGTGACGTCACATATAACTTAATACTATGGACTAAACTTATTTAGGACATGTATCATGACTTTTATACACATTCATAACACACCTTCCACATTTATGCTATCTGTAGTTCTTCGTACATTGTTTTGATTTAATCTTATTTCAATGATAACATGCAGAGATGTATATTTTTTCGCTTCAATTCAAAGACTGAAAAGACAATATATAAAAAGCCTGTAATTTTAAGACTTGTATATTTTCATAGAATTTCTTTTCAGTTCTTCATTACATTAATATAATTTAATTTTACACCCACATATAATATTTAAAAAAAATGCTAATTTCAAATACTGTAATTTATTTTCACACTGCAAAGTGCATGCAGTATTTTTGAAATATATATTATATAACTCCAAAATAAATCCTGATTATTCCTTAAATAATCTATCTATATCTGCTTGCTATTCAAGTATTAAAACTGAAATCTACATAGCACTCGATATCAGTACACGTTTGGACTTCTGTCGATTTTTACGAACAAACAATAGATATATAGCTTTCCTTTGGTATTGGTCACACTTTCATCTTATGGTGATGTCAATTAATCTATTTTTAGTTTATTTCATCAGAATAAATCTTTCAGGTTTTACACAGTGTCAGTCCAGTATGACCACATATAAGTTTAATTTACGTGTATAAGGTGTTAGTCTGTTACTGACTTAGTGCGACTCATTTCGCCTTTGTGGAGGAGTACAAGAGTACCTTTACAATCATTGTTTTCTTTGGCGATCGCGAAATCACGTCAGAGGCAGAAAGGCAAATATATGCGTTAGATCAATAGTTGATTTCCGTTTCATAACCAACTATTGTAGTTACCTTATAAATAACATTTATTGTTACAACTGTTCACACATGTCAATACACACTGCATTGTTGTTACCGTATTCTACTAAATGTACCCCCCTTCCTTAATTCTCATTTCACCCACGCGTTGTAAGGGGATTCGAGCTTTTTGAAAAAAATATGAAGTCCAGCCTATCATACTTCGTTAATGATTCTAATAATTTTAACGAACATTTTTCTCACTCTATATTCCACCATATTGCCCGTTTGTTTCACATTGGGTGTATTCACTTGTAAGGTGAGGTTGTCTCCCCTCAACAAACCTATACAACTATACACATGTTTTAGCAAGTCTAACGTTAATCTTGATAAGACCAAACTTTGCAATAAGATTATACCCGACATTTTTCTCCAGAGAGTCTTCAATGAAAAGTCTGCCAATGGGAGCACCACATGTGAAAAAGGATCCTGATTTGTCCTCCGGAGGCACGGTAGTCTAGTGGTAGGACGCCGGGTTGCGGGTTCGAGTCACGGCACCGCACTGTGTTGTATCTTTGAGCAAGATACTTAACTCCGCTTGCTCCAGTCTACTCAGCTGTAAATTAGTACGTAGTTGGGCAGTGTTCGAGCTGTTGAATGCAAGCTGTGAGCGCCGAAATGGCAGCACCGGTTGTATGCTCCCCGGGGGGTTGAGAAAGATATTGGCTGGGTGCAAAGGCCCTATAACCACGGATAATAATTTGTGAACCGCTTTGAGACGACCTACGAACTAGGTTGTGATAAAGCGGTATATGAGAACCTCGAATTATTATTTATTATCATATATATAACGTTTGATATTGAATACTGTTGTAAATATGTTTTCTCTGTACATACATACATTTATAATTTTTTAAAGAAAAATCCACAAACGAGTAGCCTTTTTTAGCCTTATACCAAGCTAAACAGTCAAGCTAAACAGTCAGGCTAAAAATACACTCCCTTGCCTGCGTTAGAAATACTTGCTGAATTTCAGAATAATTTAAAATTGTAAATGACACGGTATTGTTTTTAACAGTGTTACGTACAGTACACGCAGCCCGCAGTCCAAAATAACTTAGTTTAAACAGTATTTTATTCAATATATGGCAGTGACAAAATAATACAAAATCAACAAAGAGGATTCGAAAACAAGTACATAAAGTACTTATATTAATTCGTTTCCTTATTAATAAACCCGGCAGTAGGACGGCACTGTTATATATATTTTGATAGTATAACAGACAAAGAGAA